ACCTAGTGGTGGCCACCACAGAGACCCCTCCGTGGGTCTGAGCTGCTGGGAGCGGGAGATAAAGGTGATGGGTGGCTGAAATGTGGGGTTGGGGAGGGAGGGTTGGGGGGCAACGGGGTGTCGGAGGGATGCTGGAGGGGTGAAAAGATGAGGGGGGAGGGATAAGAAGCAGAAGAAGCAGCTGCCTGCACCCAGAAGGCACCCATTTTGGGGGCAACGGGGTTTTGGAGGGATGCTGGAGGGGAAAAGATGGAGGGGGGAGGGATGAGGAGCAGCAGAAGCAGCCGCCTGCACCCGAAATGCACCCATTTTGGGGGCAATGGGGTTTTGGAGGGATGCTGAAGGGGAAAAGATGGGGGGGAGGGATGAGGAGCAGCAGAAGCAGCCGCCTGCACCCAGAATGCACCCATTTTGTGGTCAGAGGGGCATTTTTAGGCATCAAGTGGCTGCCAAGAGGAGTTGCTAAGAGGAGGGTTGTGTTGTAGCAACAGCCATCAGTGTGTCAGGCGGCCAGGAGCACACACACACACACCACACGCACACACACACACCCTCCCCATCCACCGAAATCCCTTTGCCAGCAGAAAAGGCCTGGGAAAACCAGCTTTTCCTCATGCTGCAACCCCCCGCCGTGGCTGTAAGTCCAACGGGGGGGGAGATGTGGGGATGGGATTTTTGCCCGGGGGGTGGCTGAGCCCCAAAAGCCGGGGGGGGGGGGGTTTGTTTGGGGCGGGCAGGGCCTGGCAACCCGCTGGGGGGGGGCACCGGGGCACCCCAGCAACGGGGATGATGCTGTACTACAGACCCTTCTCCTCCACTGTGAGTGCTGGGGTGGGGTGGGTGGATGGGGATGGGGATGGGGACATCACCGGTGCCACCAACAGGAGCTGAGGACCCAGAGGTCCCCATTACAGGAAGAGCACCCCATCGGGGTTGCTTTTGGTCATGGCTCAAAGGTCCAGCCTTGAGATGATGCTCAAAGCCAGGCGTTTCTGTGTCCTCAGCCTCAGGAGAAGGTCTCCCAGCCCTGTGGGAGAAGGTCTCCCAGGAGGTGGTCTCCCAACCCTCCCATCCTGCATCTGAGCCCCCAAGGGGGGATGCTTGAAGCATCACAATCAGCGATGGCAGAGGTTTTTTTGGGGCAAGGCTGGATCCTGACCCCAAAACACCCCCAGGTGTTTTGCTGCAGGTGGAAACAAGGAGAGCAGCTCCTGGCCACGGGGAAGGGGGTGAAGGAGCTTTCTGCTCCTCTCGAAGGGCCTTCCCCAGCCTGCTCCTCATCCTCACCCTCCTCTCTGAATGTCTCCTGCCAGCTCCACCGAGATGATGTGTCCCTCCCAGGGGCTGATGCCGTGGCCAGCATCCTGCCTGGAAAGCAGCCATTGCCACCTGGGATGGGAGAGCTGTTGGAAGGACGAAGGTATGGGGGCAATCCCCTTCTTCTCATCCTCCTTGGGGTGGTTTCCTCCTCCTCCTCCTTCTGTTCTCCCCATGTTCTCCCCAACAGCTTCTCCTCCTGCCCCCACGGCTGCCAATCTTCCTTCTCATCCCCCCCTCAG